CGCCCCCCCGTGCCGCCCCTGCCCCCACAAGCCCCGGCCGGGATGTCCCCTTCCATTCCAAGGGCTCCTCCCCTGGAGATGCGTATCTGGTCGGAGGACGAGCCCGAGGCTCCGTGTGCTGCTGGGATGCGCTGTCCCCTGGCCTGAGGGGGGCCACTCGGGGGCTTCACACGCTGCTCCCTGACTGGTCCCAGGGCCTGGGTTAGGTTGAGATCGAACCTCACCAGCGCCCTGCCTCGCAGCCCCTTGAGTGTCTAGAATCCCCCTGGTCGAGTGGAGCCCTCTGCTTCGCCTTCTCCAGTCGGGGCCCCCAGCCCCGTGGCCATGGCTGTGTGGGGTGCCCGGTGGTGGCCTGGGCCCAGACCCAGCCATCACCACGTCCAGGCTTCCAGCTAAAGTCACCTCTCACGTGTGGTTCTGAGCCCTGAGGTGTGACTGTTTGTCCTTCCCAGACACAAAACCAGCTTGTCGGGTCAGACTTGCAGCCCCCTTCCAAGGGTGCCTGCCCTTGGCTGGCCCCTCCCCTAGGCCTCCTGGGGGTCCCAGACCTCATGGCTGCTGCGAGGGGCTGGAGGGGCTGTGGGGGGCTGGAGGGGATGTCAGGGGGCCCTGGAGCAGAGCTGGATTCCAGGCCTGGGCCGGGCTGAGAGGGTTGTCTGCTGCCCCCACCGCCTCAGGCTCTGACCCCCGGCCCTCGGGTGGGGGGTTGGCTCTTGGCTGAGGCCACTCTACCCCGCAGGCCAGGACCTTGCGTAGCGCTTCCTGGCCCCAGGCCTTAGGCGGGCAGTTATCACAGCCACACACGTCTCACGTCTCAGGTTTGGGATAGAAGGGGTGTGACCAGACACCTCCCAGGTCATGTCCAGCAGCCAGGAGTCGGGGAGAGGGGAGGAAGCTGACCCGGTATACTGGAGATGGGGTGACCCAGGCTCAGTGGCCAGACTTCTGTCTGGCCTGGCTGCATGACAGCACTGTGGGTCCCCAAAGTCCCTCTCCTCTCCAGGGGCCCCCAGGGCTGGGCGGGGGCAGGTGGCGAGGCCGGGAGCGTCCCTCCGGGAGCCCGGAGTCTGGCTGGCAGGTCGCGGCACTGACCCTCCCGCCTCTGCAGAGGCGGCGGCTCCTGCCGTGGGCTCCGGCTGTGAGACGTCGAGCCGCTCGTTCTCAGGAAGAGCTGGGCGATGGGCATGGCTGGGGGTCCTTCCCAGACCATGCGGGCTCCCCGTGCCCGTGGGTTCCTCCCCTCACCTCGGCCTCGTCTCCTTGGCTGGCCTCCGATGACCCCGAGACCCAAACGCGCGGCTCAGCCCCGGCTGCCGTGACGGGGAGGCCCCGCCGTGCCTTCAGCCAGACGCTTGCAAAAAATAGGAATCTTTATTCCCCAGGGTCTTGTAAGACCACAGGCCGAGGACCTGGACCCCAAAGCAAAGGCCGGTGTGAGCCGAGTGGAGTGAGGTGGGGGCCCAGCAGGTCGTAAGAACTGCTCCGTGTGACGCAAGCTGCGGGGCAAAGGTCAAAAACTTCTCTAAAGGTCCAGGTAGTAGACATTCCAGGCTTTGTGGGCCTGTGCTCTCTGCCCTGGCTACTGACCTCTGCCCTGGGAGTGAAGGCAGCCAGACGTTATGTAAACAAATCCGTAGCCATGTTGTTTCAATAAAACTTTATTTATCAAGACAGCCAGGTAACCAGATTTGGCCCACCAGCCTGTAGTTTGCCCATCTCTGTTGTAAGGGGCTTTAAGATGGCTGGAATTATGTACTTTTAGAATTTTCTGGGTGCTGACCGGTGCGTTAGAGGCCAGCTAGCCTCTAACTGGATAAGGGACTGAGCTCGCAGGTAGGTAGGAGCCCCGCTCTGGCCGGACCGTCTGGGTGCGATTCCGAGTCACCCGCCCTTCGGCAGATCGACCTAAGCCAAGCTTCCCAGCTCCTGCAAGCCTCGGATTCCTCCATGGTACACGGAGAGGATCACGGTATCTGCCTCATAGGGTCGTCGGGATTAATAAACCCCGCATGGCGAATTAATAAGTAGGAAGCACTTAGACAGTTACAGGCACAGTAGACATGGCGGTGATCGCTTCCCCTCGTCCTCGTCCTCAGATGTAGGCGGAGGCGCTTCGTGAGTTCCATCCAGGTCACGTTAGGCAGATCCTCAGTGTCTAAGGCTTCGGCTCGAAGGCAGTGGCCCAAATCGGTCCCCTCTGCTTTCCCCGCTCCGGCTGCAACCTGCAGGAACACCACACTCCGTGTCCTCCAGGGGACTGGCCATGTCACCAGTCCGAGAACCTTCCTTATCCAGCCGTAGACCCACAGCCCCACGACTCAGACGCGCACGCGCACGGCGCCTGCTCCTCGTGGTGTGGGGCTCGCGGACGGGGGGCCTCCGGTCGAGTTGTGCCGATGCCGGCAGAGGCTGTGGAACAGTTAGCAAAGTTCTTTCATCCCACGGGCCACTGAATCAGCGCTTTCCCTCCGCCTCGCCCGCCAGGAAACCCTGCCACAGGAAGGCCAGGCTTTTGTTTGACAGATGGGGAAACCGAGGCCCAGAGCGTTGGGAAGGCTTATTCACGGTCGCAAAGCTAATGGCAGAGCCAGGACGAAAATCAGGTTTCCCATCTCCTAGCTCCTAACTTCTGATTTTTCTTCTACTCCCGAGTAGCAGATTCGCACCCATGTGGTGTCTGACGCGCAATTGGCGTCTCCTGATGAGAGGTCGGAGCGGCAGGTCCAGCCTGGGCTGCGGGTTCCTCACCTCTGTCTCTTGTCTCCCCTTGGCTTTTCCAGAGCTCAGTGCCTCTGATGACAGCTCCCTGTCGGACGGGCCACTCCGGGAGGAAGGTGAGGGGGCGTCTCAGGGACGGTCGTCAGGACTGGGCTCCGTCGGCCCTGGGGCTCGGGCAGAGCTCAGGGGCGAGTGAGCTAGTGGAGGCGGGGTGCCACTCCCGCGGTGTGCTGGTGTCTCTGCGCCCCGCACGTGCTCACTGCGGGCGGGGGTGGCCGGCCCTTCCCATGCGAGTCACTCAGCCCTTCTGACAGGGCGGGGCAGAGCGGAGGGAGTTCCAGCCGGGCCCCAGGCGTCCTGGGACTTAATGTCAGTGCGCACCTGTCAGAGCCAGAGGGCTATCCGGGCATAGTCGCTGGCCTTTTTGAGAGGAGGGTGGCAAGACACGAGTCCGTAGATCAAGAACCTTGTTCACAAACCCGGAGGACGCCGGGGGAAGGTGACCCAGAAGGTGTGCCGTTCTGCCCGGGGAGTGCCCGGGCCAGTAGGGAAGCGGCACGGCCGGGCATGGTGAGAACAGGAAAAGCAGGTCACCAGAGGGTTTGCGCAGGCAGAGGCGCCAGGAGCAAAGGTCAGCAGCGCAGG